ACACACACACACACACACACACACACACACACACACACACACACACAGATCCTTCATGATATTACCGAGTGTATGCTTGCTTTCCCGGGTGTCCAGATTAAAACTATATTTATCAGGACAGGTGGTGTTGAATACTGATAAAGCCTGTTATAACAGTAATGTGTTGGTTCTGTCAGTTTTAAATGTCTCCTCTTTAACACAACAACTAACAGAGATAACTTTCAAAGTTGTAGAGTAACTACCCTAAAAGTATAACTACCAGTGCACAATCCCCATTGCATTATGGTTTAGTGCTGATTGTTGAGGAGCTTCCTAATCAACATGTCAGATGCATTTTAACTCAAACCCAAGGTAAAGCTGTGGCCATCACTACTCAAGGTTTTTCCCTAAGATTCAAAAAGATGTTCAGGAGTCGCATAATTGCTTTTCCAAAGCTAAAAAAAGGACAACAATGTGTTCGAAATGTAACGATAGAACGTCTGAAAAGGGAAGGATGTAGCTTTAGTAAACATTACTCCCCAGGAAACTGTACCACACTTGCTGATATTTAGTTTTTCTTTCACGAGCATTACGAAGGTTGCTAACACGTGTTAATCTTTGAGCACATAAGCGTGCGTCCTAAACACTCCCACCATGCGAGGACAATAGTTGGGATGAGACACTAACCTGCCACAACCCAATTATAAAACGATTCTTCTGAAGAATCTTTGTTTTCTGTAGAGAAGACATCACAGTTGATACTGTTTTGTGAATGCGTTGATACTTTGTCTTTCATATAGAGGAGCAATTGGCATTCAGTACACTATATGCTCAAGCCAATGTGGGCTTACAGCAATTTGCAAAACTTGTTTTATTATTACCGCTATATTTCTTAAAATATTGGCACTGCATGCATCGTCATTGGCAGATTATTCTACATCCTCAATTTAAATTATAGCAAATCAGAGCCACAATAAACAGAAAATTGCTGCAATGTAGGGCTATAATATTATCGCGTGTCATTTTTAACTGATTCAAAGGTTTCTTTTGTTACTGTGAACTGCTGGGTGGCTAATTGCTAAGATGCTAATATGCAATTAATTATAATAATTGGAATAAGAGTAAAAATACAAGTTAGAAAAAAGGCAGTTTAAAAATACATACAGAATACATGTAATGTAAGTAATACAATGCTAAACTGTATGTTTGGCTGGTGTTGTGTTGGTGTTTTGTTGTGCTGTGCAGTTTTTAATTTAATAAAAGTATATGCTGTAATGTAATGTAGTTGTGCTAATCAGAGTATTCTCTCGCCTCAGGTCCATCCACAGACTGACACAGTTGGAGAGGTTGGATCTGGGTAGCAATGAATTCTCTGAAATGGTGAGACTGATTGTATTTTGAAATAAAGCATATATTAAGTGTTTGAATATATATGTTTGACATGGAGATTATCCTATGATATCACAGAAAGCTCAAATGTGAGCATCTTAGTCGTCATTTACCAGATATGTATTACTAAAGCGAAGCTGGAATCCAAACAGAAACACAGATGCTGTGTCCTATTCAAAGTTCACATTTCAAGACCCAATACCACATATGGTCAATCCTCTGTGGGCTGTCTCACTGAGGCCGGAGCAAGTTCAGCCTACTGTCCTTCAGTCGGACCCTGAAATGGGGCACAGTGACATGATGGAGGAAGAGAGGGTTGGATGGAGGCGAGCAGGATATGACATCAGGGTCGGACAGGAAGTCGACGTTGACAGGACTAGATTGGCTACATGGTCTGGTTCCTGGCAAGGGAGAGAAACCAATGAGAGAGAGATTGCCAGTCTCACCCACTCTACCGACATTTGAAAACAAAATAATAATGTATGCTGAAGACTTGGTCTGAAGATGCGCTAAAGTTATTATTATTATTATCTGTACATGTTCACATTAGTGCTGAGATGGTGTCCTTTGATGTTAATGAATAATTCAGTTGTTTTCATACAAGTAGCTGCATAACTGCATATTGATACCTACGTGGTATGCTGACACTGATTCCTCTGTTTGCATGTTAGCCGGAGGTGTTGGAACAGATCCACAACCTCAGAGAGCTGTGGCTGGATAACAATTCTCTACAGTGTATACCAGGGGTAAGAACACGGACGCGTTACTTTAGTAACGTTTTTATTCCTTTTGTGTATTTTTTATCTTGTATATTGTTTATCGTTGCTGTTGTTCGCTGCTGCTGGCTGGCTGAGGGCTACCAAACGAAATTTCGTTGTATCACTACAATGACAATAAAAACCTCTTTATCTTTATCTTGATCTTATCTTTCAGCTCTTACAGGGACAACAAAGCAGCCCTGGAGATATTTAGATGACACTTTCTTTCAGATATTCTGCTTATCTGTCTTTTCTCTGTCAATCAATTTTTCTTTTCTCTCCCCGCCCTCCCGGCTGCAGGCGATAGGAAAACTTCGTCAGTTGCGGTACTTTGACTTAGCTAAGAACCGCATCGAGACGTTGGACACGGAAATCTCAGGCTGCGAGTCCTTAGAAGACCTGCTGCTGTCCTCCAACATGCTGCAGCACCTCCCTGACTCTATAGGTACACACACAAACACATACACACATGCACACACAAAGACCCAAGTTGATGAAGCTGTAGCAAAGCATTTAAATTCCCACCTATTTAGTTCCTGATCGGGCAGTGCAGTAGACTGCAGCAGAGGACTGTGGTTGTACTGGAAATATCACAGGTGAGAGTGGTTCTAGCTGTGCGAGAGTGGTGTAGCACAGATAACTGAAAAGTGTAATAAAGGATAAAGGCTGGTGTTATTCTATCTTTTTCTTACTGGAAACAAATCCCATGAAAAGACCAAAAAGAGAAGGTGTCAATCTAAAACCATAGACACTTTCAGTAATTTACTAAAGCAGCTGGACACGGTCGTCTTATGAAATGACACTCAAACAGGAAGACATTTTGCAATTGTTTTGGGCTATTTTTAGACTGATTAATATGCATTTTGTTGCGCTGGGGAATATTTATGTGCAGCAGGTTGTGTGTGATTGACACAAAATAAATTTCGTGCTAATGAAAAAACATGGCACTCAGTGCAACCGTGTGGCTCATTAATGGGTCTTTAATAGTTTTTGGACAACATTGGAGCTTTATTGTGAAGAGGAATGAGCTACATCACGCTTTGGCAACACTGACAATAACCATTAGTATGAACCAATCATCGTTTGTTTTAGTCTTTTAATGGGGTCACAAGAAGACTAAAATAGAATATTTCCAACTCTATACTTCACTTCTACTTTTGTCAGAAAATTGTTCTTCAAAAGGGGCATTTCAGAGCTTCTTTTGAAGAGCATATTTGTGTTTGTGTGTCAATGTGAATGTGTCTGTGTGTATGCATATTGTGCAGGAATGTTAAAGAAGCTGACAACATTGAAGGTAGATGACAACCAGCTGACCTCACTGCCTAACACCATCGGGAGGTAAGAAACACACGCGCACACACACACACACACACACACACACACACACACACACACACAAAATCATACACAAAAAGAAAAACGTACAATACAGCCATGCACACTTTTGCTTTTTTTTTAAAAACACCTTCAACAGTATTTTGTCAGATTTTCTCAGCAGGTTTATCTTTGGTGGGTTGTTGTTTTTCTTGTTTATTGCTGTCAGTTGCTGTGTTGTTATGCTGGCTCATGATTGGGGGGGTTCTGTGTGTTGTGTTTGCTGCGTTGCCGTGGCATTAGTGCGAAGCCCAAGCAAGGGTGAGTAAAATTAGCCTACTGGATCCAGGGGTGCGTTCAGAGATAGACAGATGTTCAACTGCGTTACAGATACAAACACACAAGCTCATAACTGCATGGGATTGTGGGAAACTGCATGCAAATTACATGCAAACATAAACTTTAAATATTTTTAAATATTTGAATGCAATCTACATTCTAAATTGAAAATGTTCAATACCAGCCCTGCTCAAATCTGCAGGGTTGAGATGTAAATGATTGCATGTAAAATGATTAGAGTGATTTGATTACAATAATTCTTATTATAATCCATCACAGTCCAGATTCAATCACATCAACTTTTGAAAAGAATTTGTATTAACCACAAACATGTTTTAATTCAGAAGCTTTGTAAATGAGTTTTTTGTTTTTCATTTTCTGTATACTTTTGACGTTGCTTACGATCATAACATTCTTCTCACTTTGCACACTGCAAATAAGAACTCCATGATTGATAGACTTTGGAAGAATTTCAAACCAAACAAGGACTCTGTTCCTTTTTTCTGTTTGAAACAGTTGAGTAGTGACTTGGATAATGCTGCTAATTATTGTGTGAATCAGTTAATCTGTGATGGATTACTTTCTCCTCAAGACTATTTAACATCCAGTGACATATAACAGACTTAAATGCCACTCTTTGCAACACATTTGTATCAGAACGCTCTGAAAACCTTTGTCTTCCTGAACAAATCCCGGGTTTTAGCCTCAATAAGTAACACTGTAGATCCATTGCTTCCTCACTGATTAAAACAAAAACACCTGAACTGATCATTTTCTTACCCCTCTAGTTTTTAAGTGTTACTTACTTATTTTGAATGGGATCATATTTCTACGCCTCTGGTTCTACATCTGAGCAACTCTACATTCCTAAATAAGATATTATTTTACATAGATAGATACGTGTATGTTTCTGCAGAATTCATGCCTTTGCCTCAGCCAATACTACATTCTATTCCCCTCTGGCTGCATCAGTGCAGTAGGATATATACTGTATGTACACAGAGCTGAATCAGTAGTTATGTTTCTGTACAATAAGCAATGCAGTAACTTTCATGGGAAGAGCAAGTACATTCTCATTTTACTTTCAGCCAGTAATCGTTTCAAGGCCATAACTATATTGCAGCTATAGAATTAGGCCACAATAAACATGTATACGTATACACAAGGTAGCTGTATAGACAGCTGTATCTTGTAGTTGACTCTGATGTAAAACATTTAGCTGAAGCAGGGTTTAAGTTTCTTGCTGAGCATCCTCCCACTAAAGTATTTATGCCTCATACACAAAGGAGATCTAAAAACTTGTGTGACACAGTGTCTAACCACTGAGCGACTGACTGTGTTTCCTCGCAACACCTGCCATTGAGAATAAGCTTATGGAGCTGGTTGGCCGGCGGCAGCTAAAAAATTCTTAGGATTGCTGTGAAAAAGTCCTATTTGACACGCTCAAACCAGCATATATTTGTGGGAGAAGTGGGAGACATTGTCATTCTTTTAAGTAGGAATGCAAACAATGTTGAGAAGAAAATAATGAACGAGGTAACCATAAATCTGCATATACAGTATATATATAAATCTCTCCTCCCCTCTCTCCTTTCAGACCGTATGGCGGCCCAGATGGTACGGTCTAATGGGAGTAATAGTAGCAGACTAATGCAATGTTAACAGTGACAGAACATTAATGTAAAAGTGTTGTCTCATTAGCATTAGCCTGCTGTTAGCGTGCCACTAGGCCAAGGATGGCAGTCAAGGGGGGTGGGCGGGTCAGGGTGTCCTGTAGCGGGCCTGTCGTGGATGTTACTGTGATTCTTGGTTGAGGGAAGAAGTTGAGATCCAGGTTGAAGAATTTCAGACATCAAAGGGGATAACGTGGGAAAGAGAAAATGCGTGGTCAGCAAATGAGACCGAGTTAATGTAGGCAACCCCAGATTGGTTACGTCTTAATCGATTGACTGATTCTTCAATGTGATGATCCTTTCCTTCTCTCAACACTTTCTCCCTTTTAAGTTGTTGCTGTAAAGACAAATTTACCTTTTTACAATAACATGTTACAGGATGAGGCTGGCGCATTTCTGAATTTTTCTTACTGTCAACAAATTCCACAAAAGGACCAAAACCAACACTGTGTTAGTCCGTCTCTCGGCACCCTGTCTGTGGCATTCAGTTCCTGAAGACTCAAAATAATAACAGTCCGTTCATTCCTCAAACTGCTGAAAGATATCTGAAACCGGAGGAAATAATGCATTAGTTTGGAACTTTTTTCATCTCCAGTATTTTACACCAAAGGCTGGTGTATGTGGGAATGTCTCAAAATAAACTACAGTGTGTGTGTGTGTGTGGGTGTGTTTATGATAATGAAGGAACATGTCACCCAGTGCAATGTGTGGCTCATTGATGTGTTTTTAACTAAGAAGCTGTATCAAGCTTTGGCTACACAGACAGTACTAGTGGGATGAATCCATTCTGGGTTGAGTCTTTTCCCAGGATTTGTTGGCAATAGGAAAAATAAAGAGCAGCACCATCCTTATCCTTTATAACCTAAGTCGTCTAAGTAACCTAACGTTCCAGCAGAGAATTTGCAGCCTGTGGACTAATTTCATTTCTTTCTCTGTCATGTTCTTTGTATCTCCTCTTTTCCTGTCACCCAGTCTGTCTCTATTGGAGGAGTTTGACTGTAGTTGTAATGAGTTGGAGTCGTTGCCTTCCACTATCGGCTACCTGCACAACCTGAGGACCTTCGCTGCTGACGAGAACTTCCTCTCAGAGCTGCCGCGGGAGGTAGGAAGATCCACACCTGAGGAACACGAGCACATCCTCATTTTATTTAGACCTGAAACAACAAGTTGATGAAACTATTTTGATCACAGTTTAATTGTGTGTGTTTCAGATCGGTAACTGTAAGAATGTGACGGTAATGTCAATGCGGTCAAACAAACTGGAGTTTCTCCCTGATGAGATCGGACAGATGACCAAACTACGAGTTCTTAACCTCAGTGACAACAGGTACACACACACACACACACACACACACACACACACACACACACACACA